AGTGGCACCTTTTAAGACCGAGTTTTATTCAGGTACAAGCTCTCCCTCCTCTGTGAGGACAGATCTGCACGTTCCTCCCCCCCCCCAATAGCTAGCAGTCCAAAAGAGTCCAGTGGAGCCTGAGCGGAGGGTGTTGCCTTCTGACACACTTCCGGTGATGTCAGGGGGTGTGACATATGCAAATGAGTTGTGTTAATGAGTTATGCTAATGAGCTCCTGCACCTCTTTTTCTACAAAATGACCCCTGCTGAAGACAACCCCCCTTTTTTTAAAAAAAAAGTGGAAGAGAGCAATGGCAAACTACCTCTGAACATCTCTTGCCCTGAAAACCTTGCAAGGTTGCCATAAACATCTATCTCCTTCTGGACTCTGGCTGAGGAGAAACAGGCTGAGGACAAATCGCAATACGTTTGCCGTGTGACCACACCCTAGGGGGTTTGTAATTCGTAATTCTCTTTATAGATAATTACAAATTACAAACCCCCTAGGGTGTGGTCACACGGCAAGCTTATTGCGATTTGCTCCCGCTATAGATTTGATCAGGAATATTTATTTTCGGGTTGGGATGATCACACATCCCTCCCCAAACCGCAAGCATTGCACAACAAGGCTCTGGGCACCATCTAGATAGCTGCATTGCTGCTTCAGTGGCACAGTGCAAGGTGTTTTTTTTTAAATTGCTTTGATCAATGTTGGAAACAAGATAAGGTCCCTGAAATAGGGGAATGGATTAAAAAAAACAACTCTTTATGGTGGAAATGGATAAAATGACAAGGAAACTTAATAATTTGGAAGCAGAAGAATTTTTTGCAGACTGGAAAGACTTTATGGAGAAAATGTAAGAATTGGGCTGGAGGTTGGAGCACTTTGGGAAGCCAAGAAAGGGGGGGAGGGGGGAGGGAGGGATATATAACTGTATAAGTTTTGATATATGTTTGAACTTTTTAAATATCCTAATAAATTGTTTTTGAAAAAAAAAATAAAAAATTGCTTTGTGCATGTGCATATGCACATGGCCAAATCAACGCCCCCACTTGGACTCACCGTACTCCCTTGTTTTTACAGGTCCCTCCCCCCGAACAGTGAATAAAATGAACTGGTGACATACTACCAAGCACTGGAGCCTATATATGTGTGCTTGAACATTTAAACATTGATTTGATTCAGCGCAGGATTGCTCATGAGTAAAAAGGCGGAAGCCGGGGGTGGGAAGTCTCATTGAGCAAAGGACGGTCAGACGACATCATTGCAATCATTGTGAGAGATGGCTGTCTAGATCGGCATAATCGCGGATTCAAAGCGCAAATGCCCAGAAAGTACTTGATTTTCCCAGTGTTGGAAAACTCACTAGGGAACCGGGAGGATCGGACGAGTGAGCCCACTTCGGTGTGGGAGATGGATTCGGGAGTCTGATCAGCAATTTTAAATGCGAGAGGGAACAGTGGTGAAACCCGATCAAAATGAACGTGTGACCACAGCCTAGCACTCGGAGAATACCATATTTACCCAAAAGGGAGGGGACCCAGAATGTAAGTGCCAGCTCTGCTGCCATGGGGGTTGGGGGGTTCATTCTGGGTCTTGTTACTTGCTATTGCATTCCTATCCCTGCTGATATGCCTTTGCTGAAACGCTTATCTCCACAGATGTGCAGGAGGAGGTTGTGGTGCACGGAGCTCTCCTCTTTACCGTGAGAGACTCCTAATTCCCAGCTTTAATCACCTAATGGTTTCCTAAGTTATCCCGCGCGCGGGAGGGGACCTAATTGGCCCATGCCAGTGTGTGTGGGGGGTGCATACGAATACCCTATACCCTATTAGGCTCTATGGGTCGCCGCCATTCTTAACAGTGCCTATGTTACTGCATCTATAGCTTTGCAATAAAAGTATAACCGTTCCTGGATGTGTGTACTTCGTTGTTAGCTGTGGGTTCTGACAGTAAGACAATCCCCCTATTTTAAAAAAAGTGGAAGAAGGCAATGGCAAACAACCTCTGAACATGTGTTGCCCTGAAAACCTTGCAAGGTTGCCATAAACAGGCTGCGGCCTTAAGGCACTTTCCGACACCACCACATTATCAGAGTGCAAGTGCTATTGAGTCCAGTAGCATCTTGGAGACCAACAAGATTTTTCAGTCCATCTTGGCCTCCCCTGCCCACAGAGCTGCTCAGAGCATAAGAACGTAAGAGAAGCCAAAGTTGGATCAGGCCAATGTCCCGTCTAGTCCAACACTCTGTCTCACAGTAGCCAAAAATACCAGGGGCCATCAGGAGGTCCAGCAGTGGGGCCAGGACACCAGAAGCCCTCCCACTGTTGTTCCCCCCCAAGCACCAAGAATACAGAGCATCCCTTGCCCCAGACTGAGAGTTCCTTTCTATACCTTGTGACGAATAGCCACTGATGGACCTCTGCTCCATATGTTTATCCCATTCCCTCTTGAAGCCATCCATGCTTGTAGCTGCCACCACCTCCTGTGGCAGTCATTTCCATGTGTTAATCACACTTTGGGTGAAGAAGGACTTCCTTTTATCCATTCTAACCCGACTGCTCAGCAATTTCATTGACTGCCCACGAGTTCTTGTATTGTGATAAAGGGAGGAAAGTACTTCTTTCTCTGCCTGCTCTATACCGTGCATAATCTTGTAAACCTCGATCATGTCACCCCTCAGCCATCGTTTCTCCAAGCTAAAGAGCCCCAAGCACTTTAACCTTTCTCCATAGGGAAAGTGTTCCAACCCTTTTATCATCCTAGTTGCCCTTTTATGCACTGCTTTAGAATTGTCAGTCAGTCTAATCATCTTGCAGGAAGATTGAAGGACTGCCCTGGGGGGAAAAATGCCTGATTTTGCCACCTTGTTTACTGTCCATCATATGATTGCTTGAATGTTTTTAACTTGTTTTAATCTGCTTATTATTTATTGGTATCAAATTCTGTAGTGAGCCACCCTGAGCACCTTTTGGGACAGGGCGGGATATAAACCACCTCTGAAACATCTCTTTCCTTAAGAACAAGTCCAGCTTGCCACCTAGGGGTGCATAACGCTAAAGAGCTAGAACTCCTGGCTGCCAGACAATCTTAGGATCTCCTGGCTATTCCAAACACAATGCCATAGGTTAATTATTATTTCACCTTGGATATCAGGATAAACCACCATATAGAGCAATGCCCAGTACAGTGTGGTGCTGGACGTCTCCGTACCACCCAAGAACAGATCGAAGATGCACTGGACCATGTTGCGTTCATCGTAGGCTGGTTTGGGCTGATCTTTGATCTACAGGACATCACAAAGGGGAAAAAGGGTATGTTATATTTCTGAGGTAATTTTTCTAGCCATAAAATTGCATGCTACGAATTATTAGGAAAGGGACTGAAAATAAATATAGCCAACATTGCAGTGCCCTTGTACAGAGCTATGGTGTGGTCTTGTTTGGAATACTGTATAGTTCTGGTCACCTGATCTCGAAAAGGATATTGAAGAGCTGGGGAGAGTGCCTAAGAGGGCAACCAACCAGGGTGATTCTGAATCCAGCGTTTGCTCCGTATCTTCTCACCAGGGAGGGAAAAGTGCAGCTCAAAACCACATTCAAATACCTGTCAGCAAGCTGCCAAAGGTTCTTTTTATTCCTATATGCATTCGGGTACCTGAGTTGTAATGTACCTATATCTGTAATCCCCCCCCCCCCTCCTTCGAGGTCCGCTTAGGGAACCATGCACAAAAAGTGGCATGGTGTGTGGAGGGTACCATAAAACCTGATGATCAAAGAAAGTGAAAGTGGCATGGAGTGTGGAGGGTACCATAAAACCTGATGATCGAAGGAAGTGAAAGTGGCATGGAGTGTGGAGGGTACCATAAAACCTGATGATCGAAGGAAGTGAAAGTGGCATGGCGTGTGGAGGGTACCATAAAATCTGATGATCGAAGGAAATGAAAGCAGCCTGCAATGCAGAGGGGAATTTCTGTTCCAACGTGGGTTTGCTAAAAGAGCGGAGGGAAAAGCCAATGCAGAATCAACCCATGACGATGAAGGGGTTGGAACCACTTTCCTAGGAGGGAATGCTGAAGAGTCTCTGGTACTTCCCCGGCAAGAAAAAAAAGATGGCTCAAGCGGGGGGTCATGATAGAGGTTTATAAAATTAAGCATGATTTTCTCCCTCTCCCATAATACCCACTGAGATATACTTTAAGTACTCTCTAATGCTGCATAAATGCTGTTATCATCAGTTTTCCTAGTTCGTGCTTTGTGGTCTCCTGTGAGTGCTTTACAATAATAAAGACACAAGAAATGCAAGGTCCTTCGGCAGCAATTAGGAATTACCCCACAGATTACAGAAAGTAGCGAACTTGAAAGGAGAAGATGGAGGAGAAGGAGGAGAAGAAAGAGGAGAAGGAGGAGAAGAAAGAGGAGAAGGAGAAGGAGACAGAGAAGGAGACAGAGAAGGAGGAGGAGGAGGAGGAGAAGGAGAAGAAGGAGACAGAGAAGGAGGAGGAGAAGGAGGAGAAGGAGACAGAGGAGGAGGAGAAAGAGGAGAAGGAGAAGAAGGAGAAAGAGGAGAAGGAGAAAAAGGAGAAGGAGGAGGAGGAGGAGGAGAAGGAGACAGAGAAGAGAAAGAGGAGAAGGAGAAGAAGTAGAAGTAGAAGGAGGAGGAGGAGGTGGAGAAGGAGGAGAAGGAGGAGAAGGAGGAGGAGGAGGAGAAGAAGGAGACAGAGAAGAAGGAGGAGAAAGAGAAGAAGTAGTAGTAGTAGTATGTCTGGTTTCACCACCACCACTGCAGGAGCACTCTACCTCTTCATAGCTGAGAGCGAGAAGTGCCATCAGTCTCCAAAGAAGGCTGCTGTCCAGCACGAGCCACTGACCTTCTCGATTTGAGCCAGGTAACTATGAATGAAGTCTTGAGGCTCATCCGAAGCTCCTCTGTCCTGATGGCTTCTGATCTCCTTCCTTATGAAGGAACAAACCTCCTCGCAGCTTGCCAGAGTCTTCTTGTGAGGTCCTGGCAAACGGCGCATCAGCCAAGGAAAGACGTCATAGATCTGCAGAATGGACATGTCCAAGAGGGATGCTAAGGAGGAGAGACAGGCGGCTACTGGCCTTAGACTTGTGAGTGCTAACTATGGGCCCTTTCTGCTCTTGGCCCTCACCCCCAGGTTTTCTCTGTGTTCGACTCGTGGCCATTCATCTTGCCGTTCTCTCTGTCTATCTGTTGTTTTCTGCACTCATTTTGTCCCGCTCCAATTTGCTTGCCTGTCCCGGGTTATTAATTCTGATAAAAGGGTTGGAACACTTTCCCTATGAGGAAAGGTTAAGGTGCTTAGGGCTCTTTAGCTTGGAGAAACGACAACTGAGGGGTGACATGATCGAGGTTTACAAAATTATGCGTGGGAAAGAGCAGGTAGAGAAAGAGGTACTTTTCTCCCTTTCTCACAAGACAAGAACTCCTGGGCACTCCATGAAACTGCTGAGCGGTCGGGTTAGAACGGATAAAAGGAAGTACTTCTTCACCCAAAGAGTGATTAACACTTGGAATTCACTGCCACAGGAAGTGGTGGCAGCTACAAGCATGGACGGCTTCAAAAGGGAATTAGATAAGCATATGGAGCAGAGGTCCATCAGTGGCTATTAGCCACAAGGTATAGATAGGGACTCTGGGGCAAGTGATGCTCTGTCATCTTGGTGCTTGGGGGGGGGGGTCAACAGTGGGAGGGCTTCTAATGTCCTGGCCCCACTGGTGGACCTCCTGATGGCACCTGGTATCTTTGGCCACTGTGTGACACAGAGTGTTGGACTGGATGGGCCTTTGACCTGATCCAACATTGGCGTCTCTTATGTTCTTATGTTCATTGCGAACAGGGGTGTTTGTCCTAGGTATGGCGGGAAAAGGACTTAGTTACCAATTCTACACTTAAGTCTGCACCAGGGCCACTTTGGATCGAGGGAAAGCCTGCGCAAAACACGATCCATATACCCCAGGGCAACGGCGGCCCGAACACGGAGTGACCACAATGTAATGCAGAATGGACAAAAAAACATGGGACAAAAAGAGGGGTGAACTCGAGTGTAGTGCGGAATAGCTAGTAGGAGACAGCACTGAAGGACCTATAGGGCCTAGTGCGGAAGACCTTGTGCGGAAAGGGCCTATACTGCTTTTTACCGTGTGAGATCAGGGTCCTGCGGGACTTATTGCAGTTCCGCAGGGCCTGCAAGACAAAGCTCTTCCGCCGGGCATTTGGTTGAGGCAGCGGACATCCCCCTCCCCCCCCAGCTTCTTTGGCCCTAACTTTTTCTGTCCAGCTAACGTTTTCTGGCCAATTCTTCAGGCCAATTGTCCATAAGTGGCCTGATTCTGATTAAGCATCTGACAATTTTTAGAATTATACGGTATCTTATGATTTTATGTGTAAATTGTTATTTTAATATTGTTTTAATTGCATATTAAATGTTGTACACTGCCCTGAGCCCATTGGGGAGGGCGGTCTATAAATCTAATTAAATAAATAAATTAATCATGATGGATGCTACTAGAAAAGTAGCAAAACCAACATCTATGTATCAATGCTCCCTCTAAGCTGTGGGGTCTTGTGAGCAAAAATTCTACTTTGTGAGCGACTGGCATTAAAGTTGTGAGCGAGCGATTTGGATACCACATAAATTAGTTTGCTCTGGAGCCATCCTTCCTGAACAAAGACAAAAATTTGTGAATCGGAGCCATGCTCCCTCTAAGCTGTGGAGTCCAGGGAGCAAAAATTCAACTTTGTGAGCTACTGCCATTAAAGATGTGAGCGACCGATTTGGCTACTGCAGAAATCAGTTTGCTCTGGAGCCCTCCTACCCGAGCAAAGACAAAAATGCTTGAGCCGGAGGCTAAAAAACTGTGAGCTAACTCACACTAACTCAGCTTAGAGGGAACACTGCTATGTAGGTATCTGTTTAGTTAGCTGGTTAGTTTGTTATTTTATCTATTTATATGCCATTTCCTTTCCTTGGGCTCAATGGGGGGTGGGGTAACAGTGCGGCATTGCAAGGACCATTAACTATTGCAAATCCACGAACAAAACCAAAACAACACACAGAATAAAAGCACAATCAACTCTGCCCAGAGCAGTTCACCTTCCATCAAACACCCTCTCGGATAAAACACTGTGCAGGCCCTTCCTAAATCCGGGTGAAAGCTGGTGAAAGACATCCATGGCCCCTGCTGCCACTTGTTTACCCAACTGGAGGCCTGAGTCCAAGAACTCTTGCCTTGAAGTGGGCACTGGCGTGCCCACTCCTAAAAAAACGTACTCTGAACTCAGGAGAGTCGAATATCTACCATCCAGTCTCATTCTGGAGAAAGGTGATTGAATGAGTGGTGGGTGGGCAACTTCAAAGATTCCTGAATGGAGTGGATCGTTTAGAAGAAGTAGTAGAAGAAGAAGAGATTGGATTCATACCCTGCCCTTCACGACCCAAAGGTGTCTCAGAGCAGCTTACAAACTCCTTTCCCTTCCCCTCCCCACAACAGACACCCTGTGAGGCAGGTGGGGCTGAGAGAGCTCTTGACAGAAACTGCTCTTTTTCAAGAACAGCTCTTATCAGAACTACGGCTTGCCCAAGGTCATCCAGCCAGGTGCAAGTGGAGGAGTGGGGGAATCCAACCCGGTTCTCCCAGATTAGAGTCCGCACACTTAACCACCACACCAAACTGGCTCTCAAATACTGACTCTCTCAAATAACACACAATGCACTTTATAGAATGATAGTTATAAACAGAACACACTAATTTACAGAGGTTTCTTGCAGTGCATATGATGGTTGGACAGTGTTCTCAATGCAACGAACATGAAATTAAGCAAACTCAGGAGCATGACAGAAGACAGGCGGGCCTGGCGTGATTTGCTGATTTGATCTCCTTGCAGTCCAAGTTTGCTTTTGCGTGCTTGTTCTGTTAATGAAGGGAGTCTGCTGCTCTGGAGACGTGCTGTGACTTCTTGTGGGTTTGAGTTTGTTACCGCCCACTTTTTGACAATTGCTCTTTGTAACTTTGATATTCCATTATAATATATATGAGTTTGGCATTATTATTGACTTTGGTTTCTGTATAATTATTGTTGCACGTACTTAGCGTGTCTTGACTACAGAATCCTTTGTTATTCCCCTAGCAGTATATCTCAGCATTCCCACCCACTAATGTATTCGACGGCACTGCTGCCACCGTCTTCCTTCTACAGAGATCACCCTCTGTCTTTTGCAAATCGCCTAGTAGCAGGGGTCGTTTCATAGAAAAAGAGCTAGGGGGACTCATTAGCATAACTCATTAGCATATGCCACACACCCTGACATCACCGGAAGTGTGTCATAAGGCCACACCCCCTGACATCACTGGAAGTGTGTCATAAGGCCACACACCCCGCCCCCAACGGTCCCGGCCGCCGCCGCCGGCCTTGCAGCTCCACTGCGGAGCCCCATGAGGGGCCCGGT